ACACACACACACACACACACACACACACACACACACACACACACACAATTGCTAGTGTTCTCTTCCCCAGCCCTGAAATTACTTTATCTATATTTTTTTTACTTATTTTCATTTTTATTGCTTTCTCTTTACTCCTTCACTTCATCCCTTGACCCAGCGCAAGCTTATGAGGGCAGGAAGTTTTTCTTTTTTGTCTTTGTGTCTTCAGGGCCTAACCCTGCTTGTCAGATGAATGAATGAGTGAATGAATGAAGGCATAGATGAATGAATGAATGAGTGAATGAATGAAGAGATAGATGGATGGTGAATGAATGAATAGATGAAATGAATTAATTGAATAATTCATTAATGAAAATCCTTCTTTAGAGAGTTCGGGGTCTCTTAGACAAAATATACCGAGTGAACTCTCTCCTCCATCACATTAATATCCAGTTAAATCTTTGATAGAATGATCATCAAGGGTACTGCTGAAGGGTAGAGTTGTTGAGGAAAGGCAACACTCAACATGATTGACTGTCTCAGCATTGGAACATCCAGGTCTGTCTTCTTTCCTGCTGCTCTGTGCCGCAGCTCCCCCACAGCTAAGCAAATCACTTACCTCCACCCACACCTGAAATCAAAAAGCCTGAGGCACATATGCTTATTTCCTGCTTTGTGTATGATTGGGAGGGTGAATCCCTCATAGCTCCCTCCCACCTCTGCAGCCTACTTTCTGAAAATCAGAATGCAAAGAATCATAGAGAATTTCAGGTAGGAGGGATGTCAATAGCCATCAATAACCTTTTAGTCCTCTCCACAGCAACCCAACAAATGCTAGTCCAGTTTCTGTTGGAAAATGTCCATGGATGAGGAACTCACCACCTCTCAATGCAGCCCATCAGACACTGGGGTGGCTGTCATTGCTGGAATGGCTATCGATATCAAGCCTACATTTGCCTCTTTGCAAGACACCCATAACTCCTGGTTCTGTCCTCTGGGTCTACCCCAGAATCATTGATTTAGAGCAGGAAGGAACCTTTAGAAGTCATTAAGACCAATGGCCTGATTTTACAGATAAACTGAGGGCCATAACCATACCAGATTTTAAATTGTATTATAAAGTAGCAATCATCAAAGCTAGTTGGTACTGGCTAAGAAATAGAGTGGTGGATCAGTGGAATAGGTTAGGTACACAAGACACGGTAGGCAATGACTCTAGTAATCTACTGTTCGATAAACCCAAAGACCCCAGCTTCTGGGATAAGAATTCAGTATTTCACAAAAACTGCTGGAAAAACTTTAAAACAGTGTGACAGAAACTGGCCATAGACCAACATCATACCAAAATAAAGTCAAAATGGGTACATGATTTAGATATAAAAGCTGATACTATAAGCAAACTGGGACAACAAGGAATAGTTTACCTGTCAGATTTATGGAGAATGGAAGAATTTATGACCAAATGAGATAGAGAACATTATGAAATGCAAAATGGATAATTTTGATTACATTAAATTAAAAAGGTTTTGCACAAACAAAGCCAATGCAACCAAGATTAGGAGGAAAGCAGCAAATTGGGAAAGAATTTTTATAAGCAGTGTCTCTGATAAAGGCCTCATATCTAAAATATATAGAGAATTCAGTCAAATTTATAAAAATAAAGTTATTCCCCAATTGATAAATGGTCAAAGGATATGAATAGTCAGTTTTCAGAGAAAGAAATTAAAGCTATCTATAATCATATGAAAAAATGCTCTAAATCACTATTGATTAGAGAAATGCAAATCAAAATAACTCTTAGGTACCACAGCACACCTATCAGATTGGCCAACATGACAAAACAGGAAAATGATAAATGCTAGAGAAGATGTGGGGAAATTGGAACACTAATGCATTGTTGGTGGAGTTGTGAACTGATCCAACCATTCTGGAGAGCAATTTGGAGCTATGCCTAAAGGGCTATAAAAACACGCATACCCTTTGACCCAGCAATACCACATCTAGGGCTATATCCCAAAGAGATCATAAAAATGAGGAAAAGACCCACATGTACAAAAATATTTATAGCAACTCTTTTTGTGGTGGCCAAGAACTGGAAATTGAGGGGATGCCCATCAATTGGGGAATGGCTGAACAAGTTGTAGTATATGAATGTAATGGATACTATTGTGTTATAAGAAATAATGAGCAAGTAGACTTCAGAACAACCTGGAAGAACTTAAATGAATTAATGCTGAGTGAGGTAAGCAGAACCAGGAGAGCACTGTACACAGTAACAGCCGCATTGTGCAATGATTGACTCTGATAGACTTAGCCCTTCTTGGCAATACAAGGACGTAACACAATTCCAAAAGTCTTATGATAGAAAATGCTATCCACATGCAGAGAAAGAACTATGGAGTCTGAATGTAGATCCAAGCATACTATTTGCTCTCTTTTCCCTTCTGTTTTGTTTCTTCTTTCTTATTGTTCCCCCTATTGATTCTAACTCTTTTTTACATCATCACTAATGTGAAAATATGTTTAATAAGAATGTATATATAGAACCTACATAAGATTGCACACCATCTTGGGGAAGGGAGAGAGGAGGGAGGGGAAGAAAATTTAAAACTCAAAAGCTTATGAAAGTGAATGTTGAAAACTAAAACTAATAAATTAAGTTAAAAGTTAAAAAAAAAAGAAAGAAATAAGTTTGGAAGAAAATAAAAGAAACCGAGGCCCAAAGAGGTTAAAGATTTGCCCAGTGCCACAAAACTAGCATCTAGGTGATGTTAGAACACAGGTCTTCTTGTTTTCACCTTTGCAACAGCCATTGAGGTAGAAGCTCTGATAAAAGCCAGGCACAATTTTTTTTTTGTTTTTGTTTTTCCCAGGGACAGAGGAGTTCCCTCCCTCCTCTATGCTCTCTTATCAGGATCAGTGTTTTCAGATGCTGCAGGTGTTTGCCTGCTGGATGCATCAATGTTCTGACGGTAAGATGGGAAAGTGAGAGCCCATCTTCCCACCCACTTTCTCCTTCCTGCCCAGAAATTCCAGCCAGTGGCTCAGCTGGAGTGTTGGTGACTCGCTAGAGCCCTTTCTCTTTGTCTGCTCTCCTGATGGGCCCGGATGGGCAGACGTGTCTTCTCAAGCATCTCTACTAAATTTAAGATCCTCCAAAGCTATATTAGTGTCCTTTCATTTCCACCTTCCTTTTTGGCAAGCCAGGAGCATTACATTTTCACCCAAGGGTATCATCCATGACTTTACTTGGGAAGTTTAAGACTATTTGGTGAAAAGAAATACAGAGCCATTACAGGATACTGGAATGTTTCTGAAGATTTTGTTCCTGAGGTCAACATGTCAGGGCAGGCTTTAGAAAGCTATGAATAACATCAGCTTTTGTTTTCCCAGGCTTTCTCAAGGCCCAAGAATTGGCCCATTGAGACAGTTTTCTTGTGTGAACTAAAATTTTGCAATTCTTACCATTGCTAAAAAATCCCTAAATTTCTACTTTTGGTTAAGTTCAGAGGGCAGACATTCTCCTGTAACTTTCTTATTTGTATTTGCAGAGAAGAGGGTCAGGGATAGTGGCCATCTGTTGTCACTGGGAATTGGATTTAAGTGTGGGGCATTGTGGGAATTTTGCCAACCTTTCTTGTGAAGGGTGTGGACACGATAGATCTCACTAAAAAAAACAAATAAACAAACAAACAAACAAACAAAACAAACAAACAAAAACAACAACCTCACCTTTACAGAAAACAATCAGCTTGATATCTTCTTCCTCTCCCTGGCCCACAGGAGGGTTGGGAAGCAAATACTTGGGTTGCCCTGACCCATTGATACATTGTAAAGAAAAGACAAATTCAGTTAAATTCCACAAGTACCTGTTGAGCTCCAGCTATGTGTTGGGCACAATGCTAAGAAATACAAAGACAAAACATGAAAGGGCCCCTGCCCACAAAGAGCTTACATTATACTGGGGAAAAATAGCATATACCCAGATAAGTGAAGATTAAATATTTTAAAAGAAAATACAAAGTAATTGGTGTGGGGGGAGGAAAAGCAGTAGCAATTATGGTTGTGGAGGAGGGTGGGGATCAGGACAGGCTGATGATAGGAAGTGGTACCTGAGCTGAGCCATGTAGGGAGCTAAGAGAGACATAGGTGAGGAAAGAGTGCATTCCAGGGATGGAGGGAATGTGAGGTGTAGGAAATAGGAACAAAGCCTATTGGCTTGAACATGGAATTCACTGAGGGGAGCATTGTCCTTCTTCAAACCTAGACAATCATTTTGTGCTCTCTGTCTCTGTTCTCTGTTTGTCTGTCTCTGTCTGTCTCTATCTCTGTCTCTGTCTCTGTCCCTCTCTCTCTCTGATGAAACTTAAGAGAGGGGAATATAATATCTCACACTAGCTCCACAAGTATAAGATGGTGGTGTGGCTAGAAAACATTTCATTTGAAGAAGATCCAGGAGATTTTAACGCACTCCAAACTCAATATGAGTGTGATATCTTAACCAAGAAAGCTAGCAGGCTTATTTACATCTGGAAATATGGAGATGATCATTCTGCCATACTCTCTGATTTGTTCTGATCACATCTGAATTATTGTATTCAGTTATGGGAAGTATATGGAAAAGTTAATGAGAATCCAGAGAAAAGTAAAGAGGGTGCCATATGTCTACTGTTGATTCCTTTTTTTTTTTAAAGAATTCCACAGGTGGCTCATCTTTTCAGTGACACTAAGATGGGGGTGGGGAGTGACCTAGCAATAGATGTTTAAAATCTATGTTTTCTAAATAGTATTTGTAACCTAGAGGAAATGTTAACTACAATTAGAGGGATTTGTGAAGCCTGGCTTCCCGTGTTTACAAGTGACTTCAATTATTTCTCACTTTCATCCCTTTCCATTTTTTCTTTCTTTATCCACAGGGATAGGATGAGAACTTCTGTCAATGTTGTAGGGGATTCCTTTGGGGCCGGCATCGTCTACCACCTGTCTAAGGCTGAGCTGGACAGCATTGACTCACAGCACCGAGGGCACGAAGACATAGAAATGACCAAGACTCAATCAATTTATGATGACATGAAAAACCATAGGGAAAACAACTCAAATCAGTGTGTTTACTCAGCACACAACTCTGTCATAGTAGATGAGTGCAAGGTACCTTTCCCATTTCTGGATATTGAGACATGTATCTAGTAATGCATGCTCCCTTTCCTTTAAAAAAAACCCAATAACCTGCATGTATTATTTTCTAAATTGGTTTCCCAAAGATCACAGAGTAACTTAAGTTTCTCCAAGATGCCAAAAATCAGTCTACAAGTCAATGCATTGGTATATTATATCTACGTGATATAAACCAATGGCTTGGTTTCCCCACATATACTCTTTAATGGTAGCCTTTTTTTTAAAAGCCCTATTTAGAAAGCATTGTGGAGGGGAATATGAACAAGAGACCTCTCTTGCCTCCAGTAATTACCTTTTCCCCCATTACACTTCTTCAATTTGACAAGTTGTTTTGAAGACATAGCCAAAGTCGGCCTTTGGAATTCCTAGTTTTTTTTTTTTAATATCCTATTTTTAAACTCAACACTAAGCCAAAAATATAGGTTGCCCATTCAATTACAGAACATAAGCTTTACCCCTTTGCTGTATATTGTTCAGTGGGGAAACATTGAATAATACCCATTTGCCAAGCCTAATATTAGCTCATTCTGGTATGTATGAACATGGCTCCGGTGGCCTCCTTGTTCTTTGAGCAGGGAAAAATTTTCTCACCAAGAGACATCTTCCTTTTCTTTAGAACCTTCATCTATGACTGTATTTTAAAGAAACACAAAATAATTCGCCACAAGCCCAGCTCCACCTCTCATGCAGTGTGTGTTTTTTTGTACTTACCTCCTAACTCATGTGGGATTAGATAGAAAAAACTCAGTTGGCTCTGTCTGGTCCTCACTGTAACTAATGTCTACTTCTGGGATGGATGTTACAATCAGAGCAGAGCAAACTTGGGAAATCCCTGGCAGATGGGCAAGGGGTCAACTCATAGTATGCATTTGAAAACACTTTTCTGGACCTTATCAGAGGTCATTCCAAGAGTTGTAGAGTTCATGGTGCATTGTGGTTGTACCTATGTTGTTGTGGCAACTTTACTCCTCATTCAAGAGTAAACTTCCTGGGATCAGTTTCCTCATGGTCCTGCCAAAGAGAAGCTATGAAACTTCAGCTGGAGAGATTGATGGTAATATAGAAGTAGCTCCATTTTCCCCAAGTTCTGCATTTCTGGTTGACTGATCACAAGTCCTTGCTCTCTAAGAGACCATGTTTCCAAATGGCTTATATTTTTGGAATCAAAACAAAATAGTGAAGTATAGTGGAAAGTATGTCATCACTGGAGTCAGAGAACCTTGGTTGAAATTCTAGCACTTACTACCTCTGTGACTTTGAGTCATTCATTTTGTCTCTCTGGGCCTCAGACTTCCCCACTGTAAAATAAGAAGAATGGACTAGAATTCCAAGCCATTACACCTGCAAATCAATTATTCTTTCATCTCATCCCCTCTCTATGTTCTTATGGAGTCACGATGACTATGGATGGTAAAACAAAGATGGAGCTTGACCCCCTGAAAACCACTCAGATGGCTTTGGTCTGGAAGGCTGACAACGAAAGATTCATCTGACAGTCAGTGAAGACTGGAAAACTCCCTCCAATTAGACAGAAACAGACATTTTGAAACAAAAGTGAAACCGAAGAAAGGAATTTTTTTCAAGCTTCTGTTGGCTAAATGTTCTAGGTTTTCCCCTCCTATTGAAATTTCTACTTACTATTGAAAGAAGGAAAGAAAAAAGAAAGCAAGAAAGAAAGATGGAAAAGATAAGACTCCAGGTGAATGAATATTGTGTTTATTCAACTTAGCAAGTCTTCTATTGAGTGCCTCTATCTCTTTGCTCACTCTCTAGGACCTTATATTTTAATTCTCAAGGATGGGTGAAATAAAGTCTCCATCCATTTCTCTTGTTAGCAATACTAACATTTAACCCAACCAAAATAAAATAAAAATGCCACTCCCTGTAAATACTACTGCCAAAACAAGGTTTGTCAGCTTCATTCAATATGATAGATTCTAGGAAAGGGGGTTCCACATGAGTTCGTATTTGGAATTGGAAGAGATGGGTTCGAATCTTGACTTTGCCACTTACTGCTTGTGTGACTTTGGGCTAATTACTTGGTTGCTCTGGGTCTCAGTTTCTTCATCTATAAAAGGAAGATATGAGATGACCTCTAAGGTCCTGTCTGTTTCTAAATCCACGAGACTTATTCCTCTATCTTTTCTTTTGAGGAAAGACACAAACCACTCTGAATATTTGGGGCTTGGTAGGTGTTGTGGTCCAACCCTTTGAAAGGGGCATTTGGAAATTATTCCTTTAGCTTCTGACAGTGGACTGCATGACCAGTCCAGTCCAATCCAGCAAGTACTTCCTAAGCACCTACTGTGTGCAGGGAATCAGATTAGATATGCAGGATACAAAAATTAAGTGAGGAAGAATCACCATCCTTAGGAGTTTACATACTGCTGGAGAATACATTTCAGATTATTATAACTATTACTTTAGCAAGACAGTTCCATAACTACATGACTCAAGTAGTGGGAAGAGTTTTGGTCTTAAATTAGAAAGACATGAGTTCAAATCCAGAATTTAATAGCTATGTGACCATGATCAAATCAATTATCCTCTCTGAACCTTAGTCTATCCATCTTTAAAATAGGGATAAAATGCTAGTGTTTTTCATAGGCTTTTTGTGAATATCCAATTAGATAATGTATACAAGGTACTATGCAAACCTTAAAACACTATGTACATATCAATTATTTAATCTGTTAAGTCAATCATTTGCAGATTCTTCGTTTAGCTGTCTAGTGAGCTGGCTGGTAAGTCTCAATGTTTAAGCTGTCAAGATGACTGAAACAAAAAGATAAACTACTTATGTCCTTAATAATGCTTTTAGTTTTCAGCAGAATTCAGTAAATAGTAATACTAAATAACTGATATAATGATATCAAGCATTTATATAGAGCTTTAAGGTTTGAAAAACACTTTACAAATATCTCATTTTATCCTCACAGCCACCTTGGGAGGCAGGTGCTAGTCATATTCCCATTTTACAAATGAGGAAACTGAGGCAGACAGAGGTGAAGTGACTTGCCCAAGGTCATACAGCTAGAAAGTATCTGAGGTTGGGTTTTAACTCAGGTCTTCCCGAATCAAGGTCTAGTGCTCCAACTACTGGGCCATCGTGCTTTAAAGTCCCCAAAGAGCTATACATATAGTATCTCATTTGACCCCTCATGACAATCCTGGGAGGTAAGTTCTGGAGGCATTACGAGCCCCATTTTACAGATGAAGACACTGATATCCAAAGAGATGAATTAATGTACCCATTTCCCCACAGTAAGTGAGTTAAAGACAGGATTTTCATCCAGAACTTTTGTCTCTAAATTCAAGAGTCTGGAGTGGAGTCATTGATATTTAACCATTGTTTGAAGGAGAAAAAAGTCAATGCCAATTTACTGTGTGGCATGGATGCTGAAAATTGGGAGGGCAGAATGGCAAAGATGCCAATGAAGAGAGATCAACCTCTTGGTCCACATTGTCTGGGTCATATTTGCTTCTTCCTTTGAATTTTCTCATGTTCAACCTCAATCATTTCCCATTGGGATTTCTCAATGTTTGCTGAGAATCATTTCTTCAGTGACTTCTTATCAATCTCCCCTGATCTTCTGCCCATTAGCATGGGGACATCCCCAACCTACTTGCAAATTCACACAAGAATGAAGCACGCCAAAGGAGTTATATTCCTGACCCCACTTGAAACAGGCTCCACTCATTGCAAGAACAACCTCCCACCCATGTTGACGTCATCTGGTCCTTCCCAGGGCCTCAGAGTGTGATTTATCCTTCTGTCCTTTGTCTGGCTCATCATTAAAAGTTAAATAGGCATATTCAGACTTGCATCAAAAAAAGGCAAGTTTTCTGGGCAACCCTTGGAAGTCCTGTTCCCTTTCAATCAATCAAGAAGTATTTATTAAGCACCTACTACATGCCAAGCATCCTGCTAGGTGAGAGGGATATAAGTACAAAGAATGAAACAATTCTCCACCAGTTGTGAATGGGAAAACAATTTTGCTGTGGCTCTGATCACAATACTAACAAATGCATGATCATATCATCTTGGTTTACTTATGTTAACGCATGTGTCTAGCACCAGAGTTTGTAGTTTGTTAATAGTCTTTTCTTTCTCTGCCAACTAGCCCATCTTTTGTGAAGGGATCTATATTTGCATGAGCTTTTTGTACTGTCTGGGCAAGAATGGGATGGGTTGGGGGGGGGTGGGATGGGGTGGCAGAGATGGCATTTCACATTTGTTCAATTTGTGAAAAGTACCTGGTGTTTAGCTTCCAGCATGTCACCCTTATGCATGCATCTCACTTCCACTTGTTTGAGAAGGTCAAATATGTTTCAAACCCTGGTGCATTTTGTCATGTCTCCATGTCCCAATGCCTCCATAAATCCAGTCTCTCCATCTTGTCGAATATCAGTCCTGGGTTTAAGGTTCCCCCATGAAGTTGAGGACAGAAAGATGGAAGGTAAGCTAGGAAAAATGGACATGTTCTTAGGACTGTATAGCTTAAAGATACTCTCCGTTGGTAAAGGTTCAGTTTGTGTTGGTCCAAGCTATTTGGAAATGCAGCTATTCATTCATTCTTAAGGGAATATGACCCTAGTGAATATCTCCAGTGGAACAATCCGTTAGTATTTGTCTCATTTTAGTCTGGTATTGATCTAGAATTTCTAGTTCCCCTCCTAAAAGAGGGAGGGGTCTTTTGGTAGAGTCAATCTACCAAAATTTCATGCTGCTTCTCAAAATAGGTGATATAGATGTATATGTGTATATATGTATATATATCTGGGACAGTGTGGTGTTGTGTACTTAAGCGCTGATCTTAAAGTCAAGAAGACCTATGTTCAACTTGCTGCCTCTACTGCTTACTGTGTGACCTTGGACATGACACTGTACTTGCAGCTGCCTAGGATGTGTCTACTAAGTAATAGATGGATTATGATGTATGTGGATGGAGGAAATTCCCACACTGGGAGTTCCCACAAATCACAAGTCATGTATGTGCATCGTACTATTTATCAGTCCATCCATCTATCTATCCATCTATCAGTCTATCAATCAATCTACCTATCCATCTAATTATTTGGCTAATCTGTCTAGCAAACATGTGATTTCACTGGTTTAAGAAATTCCTTGTTAAGAAACTCCTGATCAATGGAGATTGGTACCTCCTTTGCAACTTACAGCCTGGGAAAGTTTTCTGAGGCAACTCTGTGTAAGTAATCTTTGGAGGTCTGGATCCATTATTTCATCCATGTAGGGAATTCTTTCCACAGCAATTTATCGGTAACTTGTGGTCTTAGAGAGTTGTCTGAGGCACTGAGAGGTTAATTAACTTACCTGGCGTCACACAGATGATATGTGTCAGAGACAGGACTTGGACATAGGTATTGCTATTCTGAGGCTAGATCTCTATCCACTACTCCCCTCTGTATCTCATATACTTTATTTGTAAAAAGTTAAACATTATTTAGTTTTATGTGTGTGTGCATTTACATTTGTTTAGTTATGTTTATGACATAAATAATAATAACTAACATTTATATTAAGATTTTTAAAGCACTTTATGCACATAACCTCATTTGAAATATAGATATAATTGATTAACTGAAACTTAATTGGAAACTAACAGAAGCTAGTCTGGTCTGATTGCAACTGAACCTTTCCCACGGATGATTAGAGATGGCTGTCCAGTTCATTATGTGTTTCATGTGGTCGTGTGTAGCAACATTTTCTCTGAGTGTTCTGTTGATGGGTGTGTGTAGTTAGACATCCCTCTCCCTTCAAACACACAACTCAATGAATTGTTCCGAAAGCCTTATCCTCATGAATGTACCAATGTTTGCAAGTCAGTGTTAAAAACCTCTTGGGGGTATGTCCCCTCCCCACTGGTCATGATGACTGCAGCACTGCCACTCCTCCACATTCCCCACTCATGGTCTTTGTTTGCTGACCTGTAAGCTGGATGTTAATGCTCACTATTTTCAGGTCATACTGGCAACCAATGGAAAGTCGGCAGACTGCCATGGTGAGGAAGAACCCTGGAAGCGGGATCACTAAAGCACAGAAACAGACTCCGAGCTCCACCTTGAATAAACTCTCCGAAGTTATCCAATGGTAAAAGATGATATAAAGATTAAGCAAAAACATCCCTTAAAAAAGATATATAAATATGCTTACTTAATTTGTTAACTGAGCCTAGGAGGAGGTGTCATAAAGCAGCCTTTGTAAGCACAGGGCAGTGTCTTTGCCAAATAACTGGCCGTAACCATTTAACCCTCTCCATTGTATTACTGTTTGGATGGAGGCAGCTGGAGGAATCGGTTTGCATTAGAGATGCCCTCTCACTGGTGCCCCCCGGCACTCAAACTGTAGAAAGAATGGGTTATTTCTACAGAGAATGTGAAAATACGGTGAAGCCAGTGTGGGGAACTGCAGGGACTCTGGGCACAAAGAAATTGGGATGTGCTACCAACTTAAAGTATTTTCCTTGTTTCCTCTTGGGATGCACAAGAGATACCACCAGCAAGCTTCGTCTAGTTGAAATTCCTCTTCCAACTTTTACACGTGTTTGACTCAAAGCAAGCACCTGCTGCTGTGAATGCTGACTACTTATCTTCTGGGTGCCCTTTAAATTAAGTGTCTCCAAATCATTTTTAAAAAAGACTTTAGAGGGAACTAGATTCAAGAAAGTTGATTCTAAACATTTTCATCTTCTTCCCCCTGTGTCCCTCTATCAATAAAGTTTTTTAGATCCAGATCTCATGAGTTCATCCATTTCCTGAATGGAATCTCCCACTACCTGTGCAGAATGGCAACTCATCTGTAACTTATAGTCCTATAGAGTTGCTTGGGGCATAGAGAGATTAAACAATTTGTCCCCTGTCATACAGCCAGTAAATGCCAGAGGCAAGACTTTAACCCAGGTCTTCCTGACTCCAAAACTGGACCTCTAAGCCCTACCCCATGCTGACTCATGCTCATAAATAATTACTAAAATGTTTTAAAAACATATACTTCATAGATGCAACTCTCTAATAGTATAAGATGCAGAACAAGCACCAATCTGCATTGGTAAGAGACATTTCCTCAATGGGATCTCTTCATGCTCATGAAGTTACAGATCCAGACCTTCTCCCCTTTTTCCCCAAAGAACCCCCAGAGTAATCACTTAAACAATACAGCATACTGTGCCATTCTAATTGTAAGTTTTTTTCCTATTGAATAACTTAATCATTGATTAAGAAATAATGTTTGCCCAGTGCTGCTGCATATATTTATCAAAAGTTAAAGACACAGTCAATGTAAATATTAACTAGCTTCAAGAATAAGATGATTTGTGGAAATCTGTTTTGCCTCCAACTGTGATAATGAAATTTGTTGTAGCTGTTTGGCCTATGTTTACAGTGGGCTTCACTCTCCTCATCATATACAGTAGCATTGTTTAATTCAGCAAGCATTTATTAGGTACCTTTATTGTCCTAGGTATTAGGAATACAGAGGTAAAAATGAAATAGTCACTGACCTTAAGGATTTACATTCTCCTGAAATGGTTATAGTTTGAGTTTCTACTGAAATGGAATTATTCTTTGGGTTCCTAACAATGGGGATGTGGTCCCATTTTTTCCACAATGCCCAAGAAATCCAGGATACGTAACCATACAAATTGATCAAATCCCCTTGCAGGGGAAGCCTTTGTAACCATGTAGTATTTATATAAGATGAAAAAGGATGATATACTTACACTGAATACCTAAAAATCCACACAGGACACTTAATTTAAAGAAAAGTCCATCCTCCTTATCAAGTCTATTACCTTATATCAGTCCGTACCAATGATATCTGCTCCCATATTTCTCTTGAATCAGGGGACCAAAAAAGATTAGTATATAAAATATCCCATAGAGAAAAAAAAAAGCAACTTGTATTCCTTGTAGTTTTATCCCTTCAGTCTTAAACCTTGAAGGTGACAATGAAGGATACCTCCTCACCATTTCTATGCAGGCAGCCATTTTGATGCTAGGGAAGTTTGAAGGAAGTCCTTGTATAATTAATATTATTCTAGACTAGAGCCCAGAATGGTGGATTTGACTAGCATGTTTCCAAATACCCTTCTTAGTTAATACCTTTTAAGTCCACAGTATTGCCCCTAAATTTCAAGAGTTGGAGTTTGCTGAGGACTTGAGAGTAAATCACCAAAGAACTTGGCCCATTGAGCTTCTAGGAATATCTATAACTCTTGACCTTCACAGAGGAGTTATCTGAAAGGAAGCAAAAAGTGTAATTCCAAGGATGGGGATATTCAGAGAACAAGTAGAACAATGACAGAAGCCAATGTGCTATTCTGATGGGCTATTTTGTGAGCATCTTGGCTACCCAGCTCTTCCCTCTCTGCTTCCTGTGACTCCTCTCTTCCAAAGCAAATAGCTCATTCACTTCAAAGGAATACTGGAATCTGGTTTTGTTTGTCTCTTCTAGCAGAGTCACTTTCAGCTAAGGAGCAGTATTAAACAATACCTTTTCTTTCATAGAAAATGACTCCATGGTTCATTTTCCTTGGACTGGCAGGGACTTGGTGGGTGAAGGGATTGCTGAGAGAGAATAAATTGAACATTTTCTCTCAGGAGTCAAGAGAAGGGAGACAGCTAAGACTATTCACACGGCAGAGTTAATACCAATCAGACAAGAACTCCCAGGAGCTCTTGGTTGTGTTGTGAAGAATCTAGGAAATACTCTAGGGGGAAAGATTATTAAGGCTCAGCTTCTTATTTGTAAACTATGCTAGGATGCTCATTGGCAGAGGGGTAGGGGTGTAAGTCCAAAGCTTCAAGATGCCACCTGAGGAGTCTGCTTCCCAGCATTTTTCTTGCAAGTTTTCTTCTTTCACATCCTAAGGCTTCCTATCTTCTCTACACAATCTGGGTTTCTTGTAGGTCCACCTATTTTTCAGACCTCATCTTCTTTCTTCACCATGCTTAACCTAGCCCAACATAAAGTGCCATAAGAAGAAACAAATTCAGAATTCGTGCCCAGCATGTGATTTTTCCAAATAGGATGTTTATAATTTTGCTGTTGGGATTTGTATATACACAAAGCCATTGTGGAAATCTGTGGCATTTCAAAGTACAGTAATGTTATATTTAATCTTTAAAAAAAAACCTTCAGTTCTAGGTTTAGAGCTGGAAGGGACCTTATAGGCCATCTAGTGCTATCTTCATTTTACAGAAGAGGAAACTGAGGTTAAGTGACTAGTAAGCAGCAGAGAAAGGATTTGAGCTCATCTTACCCCAGATCCAGCATTGTACAATGCTTTAGACTCAAAGTTATCCTCCATGGAACAGGGAACCTAGATAACTAAGTCAGTTCCATGACAGCTGTGTGTTGTTACCAACTTACTCTTTAGCTGGCAAATTTCTTCTTGGGCATCTGTGAATTAGGCCAGAGAGGTGAAGGATGGGGAGGGTGAGAAACAAATTCACTTAAATGCCTCTTCTCACTTTTTTTTCCCATTCTGAAGCCCAGTTTGAACCTAAGCTCAGCTACTTTTTTTGAAAATGTGAAATTTATTACTATCTATGAGAAGGAAGAGATGGGTCCATTTTGTGGGAGGATCACCATTCTTTCAACTGTGATTGAGGTAGTTATTTGTTCCAAACCACCAAGTCCATGTCTACACCTGCAAAGGAAACCAGAAAACTGGAGCAATTATCCGGATCGTTCAAATGAAGCGATTGTGGTCTGAGATGTTTCAGAACTGAACTTCGTGGACAGTGGTTTCAATTCTACATTTTCCCATAGGTGCATAGACATGGTCTGAAGCCTTACTTGTCTGAAGGAGCAGTTTTTTAACCCCCAAAACAATCCATTACTTCAGTCTCACCTAGTTAGATCAAGCTGGATTTTCCCAAAATCTACTAAAGTAATAGTGATATTAATAGTAGTATTGGTAGTATTGGTATAGTATAGTATTGTACAATTATGAATTTGGGTGTGGGTATGAATATTAGTATTAGTATTGCCAACACAAGAGTGCCCATATATTATAAGAACTTTAGGTCTTGCATTTTCTAGCCTAAATAGGAGCCAGGAATCCAAGAAGGCTTATGGAAGATACTGTCCATAAAGAATGATCCAGTTAGGTGGATTCCTAGCCCAGATTCTAGAAATGTTGCAGAAATTGAGGGGGGTGGACTAGATGACCCCTAAGATCCCTTCCAGCTACAAATCTATCATCCCATTATCCTTCAAATTCCAAATAAAGACTGGAAAGATCTTGAGTTGAGTTAAGTTGTTGTATAAATGAAATGGACTTTATAGATCATAGATATGCCCAGTTCATTCTTTGAGAGAATTGGAGATTCATTAGAAGAATAATAAAGATAAGTTTCGTGAAGAGCTATTAATGAAAGTGCTATCATTGCTCTTAAGCTGCTGTATTCATGAAGAAAACATTATTTTCATCAATTTTTTTTAAATAACATGCTTCACATTGCTAGTGTTTTAACACTAGAGCCTTCTAGCTCTCCTTTCACCCTTCCACCCACTAGCTCAGGCTAGTGGGTTCAATATTGTCTTTTGAATCATAGAAATAAGCCCAAACAGATTCAACAGTGCTCTGAAAGGTTCCTTCTCAGAACTGTAACTAAGGAGGGATAATTGGGCCTTTGCCCCAGGGTCCTAAACTCTGGAGGGCATCAAAAGGACTTTTTGTAATGAAAGTGTTACTACCTTGAGTAGCTTAGGTTAGGTGGTTAGAAATGACTAAAATTGAAAAGTTACCATATAGTAGATGAGGAACTTCTCTTTGATCAGAACCTGCCCTGCCTTGCCACCTCCCCCACCCCACACAAGATCCCACAGTCTCTATCTGCCCCCAACTAAAAAGTTGATTTGAGAGTGTATTATTGTTTTTCTCTCTTTCCCGATGGCCAGCACTTGGTGATTATGTCTCTGATAACTTACTATAATTTAAGGAATAGGAAAATAAGCTGTTTTAGCTTTGGTCTGATTTAAAACTAAAAGGAGTGCCTAGAAGTCACACCCCCAGGCCTCCCCTCCAGTTTGGTCCTCATGAATCTCTGTGGCACTGGTTTGCTTCTCATTTGGTCAAACTCACTTTGAACCAATAAGGAAAGTTGAGATTAGAATTTTGGTTAGTAAGACAATATTCCTCATACCATTGACTCGTCTAAGAGCCAGGATGGTTGAAAAAAAAAAAACACGGAACTTGAAGGGAATTCCAGGGAAGTTATTTGTAGATAGAGTACTCAGGGAAGACTGACTTAATTATTTTGTAATCTCTAGCTTATAGAACCCTAAAAAAAGAATAAGACATGGGTATTCTTGGATATGTAATACTGGAACCAAGCAAACAGGGTTTGAGGGTTGTGTGTGTGTGTGTGTGTGTGTGTGTGTGTGTGTGTGTGTGTTCATTTGAGAGGCACTCTGACATAATGGAGTGAGGGATGACCCTGGGACCTGGGTTTAAGTCCCACTTCTGACACCGACTGACTATGTAACTGTTAGCCAAGTGACTTAACCTTTCTATGTCAACTCTTTAAGACTATAAGTATCAGAGAGGAAGCCACCTTTCAATGGTGGAGGAAGTTTCCTGAACCTGGAGTACTCTATATTGATGAAATCATAGGTCCAGTTTATTCTTGTTTAT